CCACTGGCGCAGGAGGAAAGCTCGCAGGTGGCACCAAGCGGTGTGTGACCAATGCAGAGAACATGCGAGCGACGTGGCCAGAAGGGCATTCTCAGCAGGCATCTGCACAACTCTCCTCATGTCGTTGTAGCTTTGAAAACTCTTTTCTACTCCAGAGACCATTTGAAATGGAAAGGCCTATAACGCTGAAATAGGAATACTATTGAGTCTACAATACGGTGTTAAAGCAGTACGTATTTGGTACTTAACTGTTATTCTACCCATTACTCGTGACATGCCTCGTTAGTGATTGCAACGCACCAGGGCTAGAACTCCGCGACGACGGGCCTACGTGTCTATCTGGACGTGACCAGGTTGTAAGGCAGACCCTCCATACCGGGCTAAGGAATATTGACTTTGTTCTGTAAACGGTAAGGAGCCGTTAAAGTTTTTTAAATCCAGCAAATGACACACTTAATGCCTTCTATATACCGTTTCTGCCATGTGGCGTTTTAGAAGCATTAGTGGAAATGGCCGGCTACCAACATGATTCTCTAAGTAAAATCGTAGCTGGCATGGGAGAAGTTACTGGAACTTTGTCAGGGGCCTACCCTTGAAGCCACTGAGCTCTGCAGAGACCGAAAGAAGTTTCCAAGTTTGTGGGTATGATATAAAATTTCTTTATAGAAATAAAATTATTTGAGGGAAACAAGAGCTACAGAGGATATAACAATAACTCCCACTCGTCGAACACCGTGCGTGTCCCAGCACATATTTCATGTAACCTTTGCTAAGTTAATTCCCCCGAGATCGCACAGGTGATGAGCAGCAGAGCTGGGGCTGGGGCTGGTTTGTCTGAATCAGCTTCTACTTAACCCCAGCCTCCTCTAGGCCTGGTGCACGCGAGCTCCCTTTGCTTCAGTGTGCGTGACCCTATCGACTTTAACCATAAAGAGATTTAGACTTGCTGTCCCCTTTTTTGCAGAAAGGTGTTCTAATTGTTTTTTCACACTCCCAGCTTTCCTTCAGGCCCTGTAAAAAATGTAACCCTGCCTGCTGCCGCCACCTGGTGGCAGCATTCCTCACTTACAAAAACCGTTTTTAAGATATTCCAGTCTTTTCTTGCACCTTCTCTGCCCCAGTCCAAGAATCAGTCATCTCTTCAAGGATCCCCAGATCCTTTTATTGGAAAACAAAATTTAGAAATCAAGACCTGAGCGTTAGATGCACATACAGCTTCTGCAATGTCATTGCTTCCGGGCCCTCTCAGTGGTCCAAGCTAGGAATCTATTTGTGTACACACACTGTATTTCTATATCAATTTTCTATTGACCTATCTGTATATACTTTTAGAACCAGAATTTCACACTGATACCTCCAATCCTAACACCACAGGGTTCATTCTGGCCTTTCCCTGTCTAGCCTGTTTGGTCAGTCACTATGTTTTGGGGTTGTTTGTTATGCAGCTTAACTGACTTGTGATTTGTGCTGTTGGCAAGATGGGCCTGTGACCATGAACCCACATGTGTGGAGGTGCACCTTTCATCTGCTTCAGTCATTTTTGATAGGTGCCTGGCCCCACAGGAATTTTATTTTGAGACTTTTATCTTAGAAACTTGGAGACTGCGCTTCCAAAAGAACCTGGAGACTGCACTTCGGTGGTAGGTATGGCACCCACTCAGCATCATGGTCTCCTAGAAGGGGAGGGCTAGAAATCCTGTGTCTGTACTAACTTATGAGGGTCCTTCATGCCCAGGAAAACACCAAGTAGGTAGATCGCAGTGTGTAGTAAGTGAGAATTGATGTTTCTGGAGGAGGCCTGGGAGAAGCGTGCAGGCAACACACAACAATAGTGTTTTCCCTTCCTCTCAACCACTTCTTATGGAAAGAATGGGTGGGAAATTTTTTCAGAGACAGCTAAGATTTTACCAAGCAGGGACTATAATTGGAAGATTCAACCTTCCCCCTCCTCCCAGCCTCCCTTGTGGATTATGGAAAAATTCTCTAGAAGTGATTCTAGTTCTGACCAAAGTAAAATGAGAGGTGGTTCCCAGCAGAGAGAGAAGCACATAATCCACAATGGAAAACATCCGTGTGGGCTACACTCAACTCCCTCTTTCCAAAAACAGCAGCTGGGGAAAGTGACCTTGAAGAGGAGCAGCTGACACTGAGTTGCACAGGTCACTTCGAGAAAGTGACTCCAGACTTGGGGTAGTGAACACACAATACATATACAGATGATGTATTATAGAACTGTACCTCTGAAACCGATATGATTTTATTAACCAATGTTACCCCAATAAATTAATTTAAAAAGAAAGAAAGAAACTTCAAAGAACTCAGATGGATTCTTTATTTCTAGTTTATTTAACAGAGAAGAGATTAGCTCACTGTGGCTTTGGGACCTCCTTTGCCCCATGAAAGGTCTGTGAATAGTTGGGCACAGGAGGCTTCTGCCAGGTGACCTGGAAGAATAGACAAGGGCTTTCCCCAGTGTCTGCCACCAACAGAGCTCAGGCTCCTTGATCCACAGCTGAGTTTTCTTTCTTTAGAGAAAGAGCACTGGTTGGAAGGGTCGTCAGGTTGACAGAATGGTTTCCATCAATGGGAACAAAGGGGTTGTCAAAGCAAGAGAAATGTGTCCTGGGAGCTAGGTGACAAGCCAGAAGGTAGCATCCTGTTTTCAGCTTCCATCTAAAGACCAAAGTGACCTATCAGAGGTCGGTGCCCACCTCAGATGTCAAATTCTCTCCGCTTAGAGTCTTTGTCTTCCCATCAGGGGTCCCTGTCACCTTTCCCAAGGGGACAGACATCTTTGCAGGTGCTACAGCCTTCCTCCCGTGGACCACTCTCTTCACTCCAGAGGTCTCAGTCAGAAGATGCACAGAGGCCATCGTCATCTGTTCAGGGATCACAGGGGTCATGGCGTTTTCCCCAGGGGCCTCAGTCTTCCCTTGTAGAACCACAGTGTGCTTTACAAAGGATGCAGCTCCCCTTGTAGGGGTCACAACCCCACCTCTGGGGATTGTAGTCATATTTTCCATCTTTCTCGGGGTCTCAGTGGCCACACCCTCTCCTCCTGGGAGGAAAATCCCCGAATCTTTGGGCAGTGCCTTGGTCACAGCCAGCCTTCCAGGGCCAGTCCTTGAAGAATTCATAGCAGATGAGAGCCAACATTTTGGTGAAAGGGTTGAACTGGACTCTACAGAAAATCATCAGAAAAGGGTGAGAGTCCTCCCTCTTTCTTCCCACCCCATAATTACTGGCAGGGCTAGCACCACTCCAGGGTAGAAGTACCTGCTCCCCAAATCCAGAACAGAAGGATCCCACAACGCACCCGCTTGAGAACATAGATTAAAATCCCGCCACACGGAAGCCCTGCTCCCCACCTCATCATGTTAACATGACCCTAGGCACCCATGGGCGCCCAGGGGATTTGCTACGGTCCCAGTGAATGGCCCCAGGAAGGAACCTGCCAGGTTCTCTATCCTTACACCCTCACATTGACCCCGCGGACGGCATCTTCAGCAAGACCTTGCTCCCAAGGCCTAAGTCCTTACTTGTTGAATCCTCAAGGAGAAACCTCCTGCGTCCCCCAGGGTAGGAGGCACCAGGGACAGCGTGAGGTCAAGGAGGCTGCTCTAGACAGCTTGTCGTAAGGAACCAGGATGGGGTCCCGTCTCCACCCCTGACTAGCTCTGGTACCTTTCTGAGCCCCAGGCTCCTTATCCATAAAATGGGGATTATCAACCATCAGGGAGCATGCCATCTCCTAACTGCCCGGGAAGTCTTACTATCAAAGAGATATCAAAAGAAATCTAATTTCCTTTTCTGGCCCTTGACCAGGAAAGCAGGAGAAAAAAAAAACAGAACAGAAATAAACTAACATATACTGAGTGCTAACTAGGAGCTAACCCAGTTTTCATTCCATATCTCATTTGGTTCTCATACTAATGTCAGGAGTATAGGATCACTCCCATTTTACAGATACAGAAAACCAAGGTCAGAGAGGTCAGACGGAGGACACATCCAAACCAAGATTAGAAAACAGATGGGCCTGAGAACAGTCAAAACGTATCTTCTCTCAGTGTCACGTTGCCTCACCAAAGCCTTGAGATCTAACAGAAGGGACCCACCCAGTGCCTCCTTATGCAATTTCCGACCCCAGCTTCCAGGTCATGGCTACTTACCAGCCTGCAGCAGGAGGTTCTTTAACACGTGGACAAGGGGGAAAGGGCCAGTGCCACAGAAAGTGCCCCTGACGTCATCCAGGTCCAATGTCCATACCATGGCCCCCCCATAGTGCTCTCTCTTTACGAAAGATGCCTACAAAGGGAGCAGTCAGTCAACCTGCTATACTGGCCACCTCCAGACTGGGCACCGCGGCGAAAAACAGAAGATAGCTCCCAGGAGGCAATACAGCAGGATGGGTAGGAGAAGAGCCTGCCTTTGAATCTAGCCCCTACCACTTATTAGCTATGGGACCTTGAAAAAACCGAGATTTCTTCTCTTTAAAATAAGGATTAGACTAGATGGGATTAGGAAATTAATTCAGGTGTGCCTGAGACTCACCGGATAGGGTCACCGTCACCCTCTCATCTTCCACCCAGTGCGCGCACACACACACAGAGCACAGACAGACACACACACACAGAGCACAGACACGCACACGCACAGCACACGCACACGCACAGCACAGGCAAGGGCCTCCTGCAGCCGGGGGGAAGCTATGTGCTGGATCAAGAAAGAACCAGGCCGCACCTTGTACCTGAAGCTGGTGGGGTCATCATAGCCAACCCACTCGTCCCCCTTGTGGGCATAAGGGACATGCTGATGATCGATCCAGTGTGTCCTCGCTCTCCAGACAAAGGAGCAAACCTGCCAGGAGGATGGCGGGTTAGCTCCGCGAAGGGCCGCGGGGAGCAGCACTGGCAGGCGCGCTGTCCCTTGCCCAGGAATAGAGAATCTAAGGCTCCCTCGCCAGGGACTGAGGAGAGGGTGGACCAGAGAGGGCCTGGGGAAGCCGGGTGGGGAGGCTTCACTGACAGACGGAGGCCCCTGTTCCTGTCACCTCGTAATAAGCCAAGAAGCCAGGCTGCTTGGTGTACTTCCCTGGAGGCGCAGGTCCCACCGCTTCAGCCTGCAGCCAATTCTCAGAGGCCTTGAGGAGGCGAAACGTCCGTCCATAGGTGGGGAACCCCATGAGGAGCTTCTCCGAGGGGGCCCCCAGTTTCCGCCAGTGATTCATGGCATAGGCCTGCAAGTAGGACATCACGGGCCCTCCTGTTACTATGGCCGGGGCTAGGGGGCAAAGGTCGGCTAACTCTGAGACCCTCCCCTCTCTTACCGCAGATTTGGGGTCTCCAAGGCGAGAGAACAGGGGGCTGTTGTGTCCTGTGAACTTTTCCCAGCTCCCATGCATGTCATAAGTCAAGACGTTGATGAAATCCAGGAGTCTGTAGAGAGCAGGAGGAAGAAATGTGTATAAAGTTTGGGCTAGCTAGATGTTTAAGTCTGATCATCACAGTGCCAACTAGCTAACTAGCTAACTAGCTGCGCATTGGCCACCCAAGCTTCCCTGCCCGAGGGCCCTGTCCAAGCTGTGCCATCCACTTAAGATAGTGCCACAAGAACAGACTGCCACAGTTGTCCTCTGGGACGGCAGAGGCCAGGCCCATGGGACTCTCTCTTGTGAGACCTAGCAACAGGCTACACAGAAGATTCTACCTAGGCTGATGTTGTGGGGGCTGGTACTACATCACCTCCCTCTGACTCCTAAAGAAAGCCTGGGGCTAATGGAGCCGATCTTTGTCCCCAAACTTGCACTTACCCCAGCGCAGGCACACGGGAAGCTCAGGGACAGTTTGGGAGCAGCTCTGGGGATCTGAGCTTGAGATGCCTCCTTCCTTTCAATGTCCTGCCTGCCCTCTGAGGCAGCACCCACTCACCTTCCCAGACGGGGCACATCATAAGCTCTTTGGATGATCTTCGGGTCCCCAGAGACAGCAGCAGAGAGCAACAGCCTTGGACACCTGCTGCGCTGGGCCTCCTTCTGGAAGGCAAACAGCAGCTCCTGCAAAGTAAGAGAGGCAAATGCAGCGAACCAGACAAACAGTGAGGGAAAGAGAGCACCACCCAGGGAATCTTTGTTTATGGAGCCTTGATCCAGGCTCTGGAAACAGAAAGGTGAGTCAGATGCAGGCCCTGGCCACAGGCCCTTTAGAGATAACTGATTTCATAGAGGGGTGGCAGGCTGGCTCAGGAGCACAGGGCTCGGACCGCCTGCCTGCCTGTGGGAGTCCAGGAAGACACCCGAAGAAGGCATCACCTGAGCTGGAGGACTGGAGCAAGAGCTGGATACAACAGAGAAAAAGGGCCACCAAGGGGCACCTGCTCAGCAGCTCTTTGGCCCAACACCTCTAGGGCTTTCCTGCCCTTGCCCTTGGCCTCCTGCTCCTCCTGTGCCATGAGCCCACATTATGATAAAAATATAATCATTTCCAGATTCGGGAACTGTCAGACTGGCCTTACTTGAATTAAGGAGAGAAAGTTCCACCGGTCATGCATGGGGCTGCCTCTTAGCCCAGGGTACAAGAAGCAGAGGTCCAGACCATCGAAGTTGTGTGTCCTCAGGAGGGATATAGCTGAATTGATAAACTTCTCCCGGGTGGCAGATGTGGACAGCATAGTGGTGAACCTGCAGGGAGATGGGGGCACTCTCTGTAGAGCCATGACCTCCTTGCAAGGTCCCTTAGCCCCTGTCCCATGAAGGGCACAGGGATGTGGCTAGAGGAGAGGAAGGCAGGTCTTTGAAACTCTCAAACCTCTTCAAACCCCCTCCCAGCACCAGGGGCTGAGTACCCAGGAATAGGGCTTCAGGCAGCAAGGGGGAGTGGCAGATCTTGACCTGGCCCTGGGCAGATGGCACACGGGGCAGCAGGCACAAAACAAGTGCCCGCCTGGGTGGAAAGTGGGCTGTCTCAAGGGCTGCAGAACACATGGTGCCCGCAGGCCAGGCACTCTACCCCATGCTGTTCCTCATGGGGGAGGGGGGGAACTATTCAGTCCCTACCACTTGTCCTAGCAGGACATTCTTTCCCTGACCCAACTAAGGCAGGGAACCCCAGGCAAGGGCCAGCATTTCCACCAAGGTCTCGGAGCTCATCTAGGCCTGGGCTGCAAAACATCAGACGAGAGGCCCAGGCTCTGATAGGGGTTCTGGACTCTTGGCTCTTTTGTTCATTGGCTGTTTGGTTTTTGTACTTTTTCTACGTTATTGGAAAACTTCTGATTTATGGGAGTTGAACTCTCAGCAATTCTGGGCTAGTTCTTTGTGCAGTGATTAGACAGCAGATTTGGGGTGAGGCAGGCCCGGGTTCCGTGATCTATCTGCCCCCTCTTAGCCTGGTCATCCCTGAGGAACACCTGCGTGAAATACTGCAAGTTCCTTAAAGCCTCCCACGCCCGCTTTCTTTTCTGCAAATGTGTAAGGCAAACGACCACGCTCTGAGTGTGTTCCCAGTAATCACGAGACAAGTGTGTAAGCGCCTGGCCCAGAGTCTGCACAGGTGCAGCGTTCAGAACCTGCCAGAGGGGGGAGGGAGGCGTGGCCACGGGGGAGAGGCGGGGCCACAGCTGGGAGGCGGGGCCACAGGGAGGCGTGGTCACAGGGGGCGTGACCGCAGAATAAGAGGCGTGGCCACAGATGGGAGGCGTGGCCACAGAGGGAGGCGTGGCCATAGGTGGGCGTGGTCATAGAGGGCGTGGCCTGGGTGGGCGGAGCCTTGCCACCCAGCAGCCCCAGTCCTCTCTCCAGGGTCCCACGGGCGCACCCTCACGCCCCCAGGCCCCCAGGGCGCCCTCTCCTGAAGCGCCTTCCTCCCAGGCAAGGAGACAGGCGCGGCCTCTACCCCTGACCTCCGCCTCGGAATTGGGGAAATGCTCCTTCAGGGAACACGAGGGCAGTTTTTCATCTCCGCGCTGCCTCTTGGAGGGTCCCGTGCGCACAGAGCAGCCACCGTGTGCCAAGGCCCTACTGTGGCATTTCATTTCATTTCTGCTACTCCCCCCCACTTGAGGTGGATATTTATAAACATCCATTTACAAAGTGAGGAAACCCAGGCCCTGTGAAGTTGGGGGTTTCTTCTTGTTCTAAACAAGATGCCTCCCCTGTCTTAAGACAAAACCCCTGCCTCTTATGAAAGGTTGAGGGGACAACTGTGAGGACCCCCATTTTGCCCCTCATTTCCCCCCAACCCCTTTCCCATCACCTGCTGAAACTTCCCTGTTTCTCTCATTCACCCTGGAGGAGAGGTCAGGGGGCCTTGATTCCAGGGCCAGGGCAGGACCCGCACAGTGTCTGCACCAGCCCTTCTCCCCAGGGCCACGCTGGCCTCCCGCCCTGTCCTCACTCCACCCCCCCACCCCAGAGAGAAGATGGGGGCGGCAGACTCTCACCTTGATGTGCCGAAGTTCCAGCCGCCGATGGACAGCAGCGTTTTCAGCTGCCAGTTCCTGTGATGTGGGAGAGAGTCAGTGAGCTGGGTCCACACCCCAGTGGACAGCTGCAGTCACCACTGCTTCTTTCCTTCATTTGGGGGAACAATGGGAAGGAGGGGG